TTATATTTATAGGCATGTGGAGAGTTTCTAGAAAATTCAGATTACGTAACGATATAAAGTTACATTAAGCGTTTACGTACACACTATATGTTGATTCTTACTCTCGAGAATCTTCTACAACTTTGGAGAATAGGTGGGAGTTTCGCAATATATGTTTAACAGTATAAGCTGTGTACGTTTCTAAATGTAAATTTAATCTAAACAAACGTTGATATTAAAATAAATATATAATAACAATTTTTTACACTATGCTATTAATTAGTGCTTTACTACTACAATGGAGGCTGTACTACCAAGTGGTAGTACCTTATTTTGTCTTTCTTTCTTTTTATTTATTTATTTTACTTTGGAGAACAGTCACCTTCCCACAACTGTCTGCAGCCAATGAAGGATGATATATATATATGGGACATTGTGGGGTAGAGTACCCATATCTCGTTATCCTAATTTCTACTTTTGATTTCTTTTTGTATTACTTCATGTGAGACTAGCGAACGAGGCTAAGACTGTTAGACGGTGTATCCCCACGGTGTATCAATTGAATAATTACCAGAGATGTACATAAACCGAAAAAAGACTGAGTGCTCTAGCTTTTTACATAATCATTATGACGCTGCTATCTACATTCAAACTGTATGTAAGTTATTTATGGAAAAACACCCCAGAAGAATGGAGCATACTAACATGTTATTTCAGTAGTGCATAAATGTATGTATATGATAGCCAATTATTGGAATAGCTAATATACTATTGTTATACAGAGTTGTTTAAATTAGTAATATAATATAACAATTAATAATTACTCTACATGCAGATAATAGAGTACTTTACTATAACAAAACATACATATTTATGCCAATTTAAGTGTAGCTCCCCATGCCGTGTTACAACAGAATGATTTCTTGACTTTTCATTGGATGTTTGTGGATTTTATTATGAATAACCAAGCAATAGTTTAAGCTATAATTCATGCACAACTGCTTCCAGATTTAATCTCATAGCACCTATATCTTTTGCACATTTTCTGGGGAGCATGCCTCCAGACCTCCGTAGTATTAGCATGCTTCGTACAAATTAGAAAACCCCTTCAAACATTCTGCGTACGGGCTTGTATCTGGTCATTGACTCATTATATAAAATTCCAAAATACGACTGTTATCCGGTGTCCTTAGACATTTGTTTTATTCTATCCGCCATATTGTTAACAGCATGATGCATAGGTGAATAAACTGAGAATTGAGAAAAATTTGAGAAATCAGAAAAATTACTAGAATGATCTGGTATTAGCATAGTAGGTGATGCATTCTGTAGTAGTAGTTGTTGTTGTTTTCTTAGTGCAAAGCTCCACAATGAGTTATTTGCATTTTGCCCACAGTAGGGGATAGAACACCGTATTAAATAATCTCCTTTATTTACTAAATCAGAACATATTCGCTGGCAGTATTTGAAATAATGTTTGTTCCATTATAGACATTTTACTGAGTATAACAGTATTTCTCTATGCCTAGTTTTGCTACAACGGCCAACTTTTGTGTCTCTACACTAGCGCGATAGAATATTCTTTTGTTGATGCTTTCTGGATAATTGTTTTTGTTTGTGCTCACTGGTTGTTCGTTTCTATATTCTGACACAATGTAACAAGTTTGTTTGTAATTAAGCACAAAGCTACACAGCGGGCTATCTGTGCTCTGGCCACCACGGGTATCGAAACCCGGTTTCTAGCGGTGTAAGTCCGTGGACGTACCGCTGTGCCAGTGGGGGTGGGCACAATGTAATGTTATGCTTGTAATTTGCATTTAATAAATGTACTGGGATCTTTGGTGAAAACATAATATTATCATCAAGATTCATTAACAGCGACGATCTTGCACATAAATCTTCATAACAACAAGACGAAACAAAAACGTTCCATGTTATTTCTGTGACTTTTTTTTTTTTACTAAAACGTCTGATTTCAGTGAAGAAAAGAAAGTCTCTGTGAATGACGTCAAACACCTACTGTATTAAAGCCCACAATCTTCTATGTTGAATACTACAGAACTCTCGTGCCTTGACACGCATTTGACTGATAGCGCCAGCTCACCATTACTAACTAATACTACATTTTTATGTAGGTTTAATTAGGAAACTTGTAAACTCAGTTTTACTGATATAGAATAATTGTGTCTCCTGTATAAACTTGATAGTGGTGAGCCATTGAGAAAACTAAATTGATCTAATTAAACTAAAGTGAGTTTTACTTTCTGAAGTATAATCGTGTATAACTGTTTAAGTATTTTAAATAAGATAGGATGGAGATTGCTCTATTACTTCCCTCACTGTGGCCCGGCATGGACATGCGGTTAGGGCGTTCGACTCGCAATCTGAGGGTCGCGGTTCGAATCCCCGTCACATCAAACATGCTCGCCCTTTCGGCCGTGGGGGTGTTATAATGTGACGGTCAATCCTACTATTCGTTGGTAAAAGAGTAGTCCAAGAGTTGTGGTGATGTCTAGCTGCGTTCCCTCTAGTCTTAGACTGCTAAATTGGGGGCGGCTAGCGCAGATAGCCCTCGTGTAGCTTTGCGCGAAATTCAAAACAAACCAAACTTCCCTTACTGTGACATAGGACTACGCTCGTGGTAATCTCCATTCTATCTTATTTCTTTATATAATTTAAGCTTATTAGCAATTTCGAGTGTTTAATTTCGACACATCGAGTAATTTAGCCCCAGTTTGTAAAATGAATTAATGTTAAAGGTTGCCTCAGGTTTAGGGAAAGTCAGTAATAAAGTCAATCTTACACAGGTAGGCATAGGCCTACGCGTTATTTCAGTGTATATATAATTTATGAGTTATAAAAACAAAAGTAAATTATAGAAATGCTCGATAAATGTGATTTTAACTTTTTTTTTAAATATTGTGTCGGCTTAAGTATGTCTGAGAGATTTAGGCCTAATATGATGTCAATCAATAAATTTACACGTGTAAATATTATATATGTTATATGATGATCTTACATTTACATGTAATCTAAGATTTTGTTTTTGAAAATAAATGAGTTCCGTATTTTGTAAAGAAGTAATTTTTTACTTATCATTTCTTATTTTTCAGGAAAAATGCGATTCGTTTACTTTCTGTTCGTCAGGTAACTTTATTTTAGATATTCTTATTTAAGTGACTTTTGTAACCTACAAGGATATAATATATTTTATACATTGTTATCTAAGTGACTTTTGTAACCCACAATAACATATTTCAGTTAATGAGACACATAAATCATTAAAGTATATTTGTAAAATACTTCCTATTTTCTAGACAAATATTAGGTCGTCAAGAAATTAATGTTGCGTTTTGGAATACTTTCATTAATCACACCCCAAAAAACGTACATTAAGTATAATAGTTAAACGAACTGCCTATACGTCACGTTAGTGTAGCCTATATAATGTGTAAAGATTAATATACTCTAATCTCTTATAGC